CTAAAATAATATGTTTCACTGATTTAATTTAAAATAACTCATAATGTTTTTTAATACATTAAAAAGGATGATATCATTCTAGGTCCATATGGTTTAAGAACTGGATAATTTTTTTAAAAAAATAAAATGTATTATTTTTTAGCTTAAAATATTAATATAAATGCATGAGTGTATGAATTCATGTATGAATTCTATAATTGTTTAGGTCTTACTCTGTATTATTTTTAAGTCTCTTATTAATATATTTAGCTGGAAGAATTAATTTTAATACTTTTATAGCCTGTCTAAAATAAGGTTTTATAAAAATCTTAAATTTTCCAAGTAATTCTGAATTTTAAGTAATTAATTTCCAAAAAAAGTAGCTTTAGACGAGTTTCTAAGAAGGCAACTGATGAATATATAAAAGGCGTTGCTATCTTCATACTTTCTCACCATTTGGTGTGATTTTCAAATTAACATCTTTGCCCTTTACACTGTCATTTAACAAAGCATAATTCATGAGTAAAAGGTGTAGAAAACAACTTTTGTAATGCACTACTGCTATGTACAATGACTATTTCCTTTCTTTAGTTTTGATCTCTTATGTTGTCCTAAAAATATTTTATCAATTTATACTGTAATTATGTTTATCAATCTATTAAATCAAGTAAAGTTATAAATTTTACCTTGTGTTACAAAAGAAAAATGCAAACATTTCTACTACACATTAGAAACTAATTTATTTTACTATATAATTGTAGGATAGAGCTACAAATATGTACATTTCCTTTTTTATTCAAGAAACCTTCCCCTCCGCATGTCAAAGTGAATTGAATTTCAAACAGTAAAATAAACCACTTATTAAGGCCAACACAATGAGTAGGTATTTACAATGTTTGTCTAAGCAGCTTGCAAAAATTCTGCCATTTTCCTGGAAAATTCAAGGATATACATTCTGATGAACAGAACCCCAACTCACCACTGAACACTTGCAGCCAAAGTAAATTTTTTTCTGTATGCTGTTAGTTAAACCATGTGCCGGTGCTACATGCGCACAAAGCATACGCTCCATCATCCACACCAGTGACGGACGGGTTTCAGGAGAGTTGGGATTCCTCAAGGAGGAGCTCATGATTGTGAGGTCTACGTGAAACGCGAGTTCATGAGTGGAAGCGGAAGGACGGAAGTGGGTGTTGGCAGCAAGCTCCAACCAGTAAGAGCCTGATTGTGTTTCAGGATGTCTAAGCTACACTGAATACTACTTTCCCAAACTACTTTCTTACCCATAGTCATCTGTTTTGATGACAAATAATGTTCTCCAGATAATTGTATATCCTAGTCTCCATGGCTCCCATGGATGTCTGACATTTGGAAATGAGAACTTCGTCCATCAGTATCATTATTGTCCCAAAGAAACGTCGCTTCCAAAGGCTGAAGTACGCTAAGCAATTTGCACCGAAGCTTCTCTTTTGTTCTTTCAACGTAAACCAAATAATCCAAAATGGCTTGTACAGATTGATCTCTGAACTCAGGAAATGCTCACCTTTCAGAACTACAGTTAACTCCCTACCTAAAAGTCTGGAGACAACTCTCAAAGTTCTTTTAGTAGAAAATGATGGCACTTGTATATTGCCTCACTCTTTGAGCCTTATTATTTTTCACTTCTAAAAAGTTTTCATTTCATTATCTTTAATCATATTAAACAAAATAAGATTTGGTTGGTGGAGTATTACTCCAAATGAACTTTTTTGTGTTGGATTTCTCGGATCACGTGGTTCATCAATGAACCATTAATAACCCTTAATGAAGACATTCCCTCTAAGAGCCCACTGAGCATACTTGAGGCAAAGGATTTTCATCTTCATGCCAAATTTTTTATAACTAGTGTTTTGCCAGAATTTCTCACCCAATGGATTCTTTAATTATGAAACTTAAACATGCAAAGAAGTCTACAATATCATTGAAGAGGATATGTCCGTAGAAGAATATTGCACATTCACTGCGAGGATTTTCTTATTTCTATATTAACTCTTGGAAAAAAAGCAAACCCTTAAGAATGTTAATATATATTTAATTGTTATATAAGTATCTATTTTAAACACAAGTAATCTATTACATCTAATATTATGAAAACCTAAAAGTTTTGAGAATGCCCTGAAGTAGTTCAAAATTGCAAATCCAGATGATGGAATCAACCTGGGAGCGACAACTGCAACAAAACTCTGAAACTGTAAATCTGTTAGATAATAAGGTTGATCTTATGAGAATGCTCATTTTGAAAATAGTAAGACTGAACGCTTTCATGATGAATTATATAAAAACCATCTTATTTTTAGGTCACCTTAAATATTAGAAATATATTAAGTGTGAGATTCAAGGTTATTACATAAGTTTGAAGTTACTAGTACTGAGTAAAGTTTCATTTTTCATCAAGAATTTGGAAATATCTGTTAAGGTATCCTTTATAATGATGGCATTATTCACATAACCCATTGCAGGCAAGATAGGTAAATGTTCAGGTGTATGAAGCATGATCAAAAATTATGACAAGAATTAATTTTATTTAACAAAATGACCATAAAAGCTACATTGCCCTTAATCCCACGCAAAAGTTTCCCGGTTACTTGAAACATATTTCTCTCATTTTTCTTGCCACGTTCTGAAGCAGCTCTGTGAGTCCTCTTTCATGGGTGTCTTTAGTTGCATTCAGTTTCAGACTTGATGTTCTGAATCTACTCAAAGCTTATAACTTTTTTGGTAATTTTGACTTTTGAAAGGCTGGAAGCCTCCTTGTCCCAGATCCAGTGAATAAGGTGGGTGAGCACACAATGTAGTATTTTACTGTTTGCCTCTTTTTCTTTCTTTCTTTTTTTTTTCGTATTCAGTACAGGGTCTACAGGGTTTCACTATACAGATTGGACTCATAACAATCCTCCTGTTTGCAGCTGCCCAAACGCAGGGATTACAGGCACACACCACCACGCTTAGTCTCAGTAGCTATTTCAGCACGCACACCCCACCTTGGGGGAGGGGAGGACCTCACATGGCAAGCCAATAAGCTTGCCTTTTGATTGGATTGGACAGGGAAACAGTATTTCATGTAGTTTTAATAATTCTTTTATATCTAAACTTGCAGATGTTGTTTTCATTACTTTAATATCCAATGACTAATAATACCTGCTATTATTTTGCTGCCCTAAATCTAGTTTATGCATGAAGTTCATTAATACTACCTTCATGACTTTTTATTTTAACTTTTTCTCTCTATTATAACTATGTTCTCTCCAACTTTAAACATTTTTCATACATCAATAAACAATTGA